CAGCACTATTCACAATAGCAAAGACATGGAATCAACCAAAATGCCCATCAATAGTAGACTGGATAAAGAAAATGTAGTACATAAACACCATGAAATAATATGCAGGCACAAAAAGCAACAAGATCATGTCCTTTGCAGGGACATGGATGGAGCTGAAAGCCATTATCCTCAGCAAACCAAACACTACATGTTCTCACTTATAAGTGAGGCCTGAACATTGAGAACACATGGACACAGGGAGGGAAACAACACACACTGGGGCCTGTCAGGGGGTGGGGTGGGGGGAGTGGAGAGCACTCCCTAACATGAATATCAGACCCTTTATTATTTAGTCTCTGCATATATTTCCATCTTCATCACTCATCGCCCCTCTTATTTATTCCAGACATACTGAACTAACTGTAGATCTGGGGTATCTTTAGACAGATTGACCCAGAAATACTTTATAATAATTTGAAAATGTACCTATCTTATGATTTTAAAATTCCACTTCTAAGAACATGTATACTTGAAGCAGTGGTTCTCAAACTTTGGTGTATATCAGAATTACCTGAAGAGTTAATAAAAACACAGAGGTATCAAGTAGGTTGAAGGATAGGACTTGGCCTTTGTATTTTTATGAAGTTCCCTAGGTGATTTTGCAACCTTCCAAAGTTTAAGAGTCACTGCCTTAAAGGAGGGCTTGAGAAACTATAGCCTAAACATCAATTTCAGCCTCTGACTGATTTTGTAAACCAGTATTTTTTAGAATACAGCCCACCAATTAGGTATTGTCTATGGCTTCCTTTACACTACAGCAGCAGGGTTGAATGGCTACAGCAGAGATCAGAGATCATAAGGTTGAAACGCTGAAAATATTTACTATTATCCATCTACAGAAAAGTTTACCAAGCCTAGAGGAATACTTTACACTGAAAGACGCATGTAAGGATATTCACTGTGGCAATGCTTGTCATAGTGAGATTTTGAAATACTCTTGATGTATATAAATAAGCTAATAAATATTCTAAGGATATATATGTATAATGAAATACTATATAACTGATAAAATTTACTAAATTTTTATTAATATGAATGAAATTAAATAATGAGTAAAAGAATGACATGTACAGTACAATAATTTTTTTTTTGAGACAGAGTCTTGCTCTGTCACACAGGCTAGAGTGCAATGGCACAATCTCGGCTCACCACAACCTCTGTCTCCTGGGATCAAGTGATTCTCCTGCCTCAGCCTCCTGAGTAGCTGTAATTACAAGCATACATCACTACGCCCAGCTAATTTTGTATTTTTAGTAGAGACAGGGTTTCTCCATGTTGGTCAAGCTGGTCTCAAACTCCTGACCTCAGGTGATCCACCCACCTCGGCCTCCCAAAGTGCTAGGATTACAGGCATGAGCCACCATGCCTGGCCTATGATGCTTTTTATACATACAATGTATAGAAAGATATTGAAAAATAAACAAACATATACCAAATTCATGGTAGTCCTTGCCTATGAAGAGGAAGCAAAAAGAATACAGAGAGGAGAACAAAAGGGATCTAAACTCTGTAAACTGTTTTCATGAAGACATTTAAAGTCAAAAAGGGACACAGATCTGAAGATTTATTAATACTAAAATATGAAGTTGTTTGCCATAATATACTCTGTGGGTTCTGTTTAACTCAAAATAAAAACCAGAAACAACCTAAACTACCCCATTATAGGGAAAAGTAATTGAACATTAGCATTCCAATACAATGGAACATAATATAGCCTTGAAAAATCCACATGAAGAGAACATAAGAAATAATTGACTTAATTATCCTGATTAGGATTCAAAATTGTCCATACAGTAAGGCTATAATGATATTTTAAACAACAACAAAAACTAGCTGCAATCCTTTTTCACTTTGTTTGTTTGTTGGCTGACTTACTTGATTGTTCTTTTTAATCAATATGTATACATATAAAAACTACTAAAAACAGAACTGTCAACAGTGAATATGTTTGATTTAATGCTATTCTTTTTCTTTGCATTTTATTTTCCAAATAATATCAACTGAATATATATTACTTTAAAATGAAATGCCTTCATTTTAAATAACCTTCTGTGTGGCAGATACAGCCAACTGCATGCCCACAATCCACTCTTCTCTTCTTCATATAATATTCAGTAAAACACTACATTTCCCAGCCTCTCATGCACATGAAAGTGGCCATATGATACAGTTCTAACCCCCAATGAAATGTTAAGGGGTGTAACTGGGTGCATGTTAGAAAGCTCTTTGAAGGGGATTAGACGTGACTTGCCTTCACCTTTGCCATTTTGCCTTCACCTACTTCTTTTTTTGAATGAGCATGTGAAGCAGGTGAGAAGATGATGCAGCCATCTTTAAACATGAGGACAAAAGCCACCAACAAACGGATGGCAGAGTAGAAACTCAGGGGAAGCCTGGATTCCTCAAGGTATTACAGAGCCACTGCACCACCTCTGGACTGCAAACCTCTAATACTTTCTGTTACATGAGGAAAAAAAGCTTTACTTGTTTAAACCTTTCACTTATATTCTGCTAAATGCAACCCTTAATTGATATATCATGCTAAAATAAAATTTTAATAAATTACCCTACTGAAAGACACTTAGAAGATAATATAATCTATCTCGTTTTCTGAGGAGAAAAGTGAACCTCAAGAAAAAAAAGGTTGGAGGCACCAATCTAATATCAGAACAAAGACTAAAGCTTGACTCTCACTTATGTGAATAATTTTTTCCAAAATATTAAAATCACAGTGAACTTTACATTTGAAAATGGCTGAAACAGGCTGAGTGTTGTGGCTCACACCTATAATCCCAGCACTTTGGGAGGCGAGGCAGGTGGTTTGCTTGAGTTCAGGAGTTTGAGACCAGCTTGGGACACATGGTGAAACTTCGTCTCTACTAAAATTACAATAATTAGCCAGGCATGGTGGTGTGAGCCTGTAGTCCCAGCTATTCAGGTGGGAGGACTGCTTGAGGTCAGCAGAAGAAGGTTGTAGTGAGCCAAGATTGGACCACTATACTCCAGCCTTGATGACAGAGTGAGACCCTCTCTCAAAAAAAAAAAAAAAAAAAGCTAAACAGTAAATTTTACATTATGTATATTTGCCACAATAAAAAAGAGATAAAATTATATTAAAATCAAGTCCACTTTAATAATCTAGTTTAAAAATAACATTTTATATATTTTTGTCAAATTTTGCTGACTAGAATATGTGTAAAATATTACACATATTCTAGTCAGCAACGAGTGCCAATCCTTTTGCTACCCACAAGCAAATCTGCAGTTTGAATTACTCAAAATTAGTATTCAAACTAACACATCAATTTCATAAGTAAGTCTGTACAGATTACTCCTAAACACTAAACAATGTACAAGAATAAAGAATCAGGAAATTTACAGATGCTGTTTGAGTTCATACGCTACCCCACAAAAGCAACTAATTTAAGCCCTTTTCCCTAACTCAATCTATTAGGACCCTGAAAATATGTCTACATTACACAATTATATGTCTGAATTTCACAAATATTATTCTTTATATCAAAGAATAAGACTTAGTATATCTTGTGTCCTTAGCTAAGAAGGTCTCTTGACTGGATATAGGATTTTTGGATCCCAATATTTTTTGCTCAACATTTGGACACTTCTATCTCTGACTCCTTGGCTAGATTTCTAATCTCTGCTGCTTAGACACACACCCCTGTTGGATTCATGAGTATCAAATACTCATGAAAGCACCTGTCCAGAGAACAGAAACAGAACTGCTTCTATTTATACTGAACATTCATTCTCTTTCCTTTCTGCTGGGTCTGTGGTCTTACTCTTCATTGTGCTAACATTTCTTCAGTCCTTTACTGCAAAGAAATATAATTATTTATCTCTTGATCTAAATTATTAAACCTCTTAGAGAACCACATTTTCTTCAAAAATAGCACAAATACATTAGGGAAAATAAATGTATTTTTGCCAGAATGAATATGTTCCAGAGTCTCAGGCAGTAGTTAGAAAAATCAATTAGATATGATATCCTTAGATATGCCTTAAGATGTTTGATCAAGTCATACCAGCACTTGTTGCTACTCTCTTGAGTTAGGACTCAGCCTCAGTTATCAAGAAGCAGGTAGATAAAATATTTTATATCCAGTAGGTGGTAATAAAATTCTACCTACAATTAAGAAAAGGCATTAAGAGCCAGGCGCGGTGGCTCAAGCCTGTAATCCCAGCACTTTGGGAGGCCGAGGCAGGTGGATCACGAGGTCAAGAGATCGAGACCATCCTGGTCAACATGGTGATACCCTGTCTCTACTAAAAATACAAAAAATTAGCTGGGCATAGTGGCGTGTGCCTGTAATCCCAGCTACTTAGGAGGCTGAGGCAGGAGAATTGCCTGAACCCAGGAGGTGGAGGTTGCGGTGAGCCGAGATCGCGCCTTTGCACTCCAGCCTGGGCAACAAGAGCGAAACTCCGTCTCAAAAAAAAAAAAAAAGAAAAGGCACTAAGCTTAACACAGCCCTAGCAGTAATTTTTAAATGCCACAAGAGGGCGATACAACTCTATGAGTGGGGGGTGGGAGGCGGGAAACAAACAATTTTTCAAATTAAAAAATTCCTGATTTTCAAGATATGGAAATAGGGGCATGTTTGGATTGAAAATAACAAGTGTGCAAAAACCCTTATTTCTCCTTGAGTCATTATTAGTAAAAACACAATAGTTGTCTATATCTTTCACTGAAGTTGGCAGTGATTCAAAAAGCAATGTCCATACATGCTCTGCTCCTCCGAACGCCTGTGACTATAGCTGGCAACTTAGTGCCCTACCTATAGCTACTTAAAAATTATTTCTTGTTACTTCAAACAGGTGGCCTAAAAATATTTTATTTGGACCTTGCCCTAGTCTTCAAACTTCTGTTTGAAATATGTCTGGAAAAAATAAGACACAATTTCCTTTAATTATTCTTTATGTTTAACCATATTGTTACTCACCACTGGCATTTGTTCATAGACACGAATAGAAGATAGTCTATCTACAATAAATCAAATATGAGCACTTAATATTTTATCAGTTTTAACTCAACTTATAAAACATACATATGATTGGTTTTGTACCTGAAGAGTTTCCATGGATTTTTTCTATTTTCTCCTTGAGAGAAACAATTTGCTTTTCTAGTTGATCATTTAATTCAAGTTGTGTCTCATAACGGGTTTTCCATTCACTACCTTAGTAAAAACAGGGAAAAAAATCAAGATCACTCACCACCTGTCATTTATTCATTAAAATAACATGAAGATCTTAACCTTACTCTATTACTATACTTGCCTTTATTGGCAGTACAGATCAGCTGGAAGGAAATAATTATCAAGTCTGTATTTCTGTTAGTAAGATTTTTCGGATCGCAAGAATCAGACCCACACTCAGGCTGCCACACAGCTAACCTTATCACAGCTACTGTGATTCCTGTTCCTCCTTACTTTCCACCTCCTTTTTTCTTTTACTTCCTTGTGCATCCTTACAATAAATTCAATTAGAGGGAATAACAGGACCATGTTTCTTTCTGTGGAACTTGAAATACCCATATATATATAATATTCATGTATTTCATATATATCTCACATATATATATCCATAAATATATATGAATATTTCAAGTTCCAAGGAAACTTGAAATATATATTTTCTTATTCTTATATAAATGTATATATGTATATAAAATATCCAAAACAGTACTAATCTTCTAACCAACGTCATGTTCACTTTTTTCCTTTGAAAGCAATTCTAAAGTCTACTTTATAACTATCACTTATATGTCTGTTATGTGTAAAGCATACAATGCTTTACATACATTAACTAATTTAATCCTCATTTTAGAAACTTAGTTACCTATTTTACAAAGATGAGGAAACCAAGGCTCAAAGATGTCAAATAACATTCATAAGAGGACACAGCTAATAAATAAGGAAACTTATTATTAATTAAATTATAATTAAATCCAGTTTTGTCTGCCTTTGAAATCATATCCTCTTAACTGCTAAGCCGAAGGAACATATGCATTTAGCTATCTTCTCAGGCATTTTCTCTTAACCTTAAGCTGTTTTCTTTCACTAAATCCCTTTGGCTATTAAAGTCAAAGCATTTTTATTATGTCTGGGGAAAAGGAAGAATACAGCTTAGAATTAAAAGGTCTTTGTTAAGATTCAAAGCCCAAAGCTAACTTTTTCAAGTCTTTAAAGTCAGGCTTTGTAGAGAGCAAAAAGATGGCTTCTTTTTCAACTCTAAATGCCCTTTACATGTCTGAAAAAATTGCTGCTACGTAACAGTTGGTGGAGGAGTTAAGGAGAATGAGTATCAGCACATACCACTACCAACCTCTTCAGCCCTGACACAGGTCCCCCTTATACCCTCATCTCTATGCAAATGTGGTCTACCAAAGAAAGGGGCTGGGCTTGAACACCTTCCCATACTAAAACTGAAAGTCATTAACCCAAAAGTTTTAGAAAGGAACAAGAAGAAAGGAGAAGCCCTGAAAGACTTCTAAACTTTTGTCCAAAAAATAAAGTAGAGCCCAACTTTATGGAGTCATCTTTATAACTTGCTACCTAAAGTCTCCTTTTGTCCTGGATTCTCCTTTTCTACCATGGGAATGGACGCTTCAGAGCAAGATGAGAATGATTTAAAAAAATTAAAAATGCAATTTATTTTTGGCACATCTGAGTAGAGTTTATAAATTTTGACCCCATTTTATTTTAAAGTATTATTGACTTTTAAGTCAATCATCAAATTTAGATTATCAAATATAGACAAGCCAGTCAGGCACAGTGGCTCACGCCTGTAATTTCAACACTTTGTGAGGCTGAGGTGGGCGGATCACTTGAGGTCAGGAGTTCGAGTCCAGCCTGGCCAATGAAGTGAAACCCAACCTCCACTAAAAAATACAAAAATTAGCCGGACATAGTGGCAGGTACCTGCAATCCCACCTACTCAGGAGGCTGAGGGAAAATCGCTTGAACCCAGGAGGCAGAGGTTGCTGTGAGCTGAGATTGTGTCACTACAGCCTGTGCAACATAGTGAGACTGCATCTCAAAAAAAAATAAACAGATAGATGATAGATACACCTATTAGTACACAGTTGTAACCAGCTGCAATCCAGCTGTGCGCCACTTGCAGAGTCCAATTAATAAAAGCAAGGTCTGTTAGAAAGTGACTTTATTAACCTCAACATCAATATGGGACAACACAAAATATCCAACATAGCCACCAAAACAAAGCCACGCAGACTTTACAACCAGCACAACTCCTGCATGCCTTCCATATCAAGTTTCCCTTTGTAAGCCCCCTTCCTTTTCCCTTTCCTCTTCCTGCCTATAAAACCTGACCTAGACAGTGGACATGGTTATTTTGGATGGGAACCTGGCCACTTCTCCATTACTAGTTTTGGTCAATGAAATCACTTTCGCTCTACCAGACCTAGTTCTTGTTAATTGAACTATGTAATCAGTGCTTACAATTGCCAGTTACAATTTTAGCGTCCGGTATGGTGAGTGCTGTATGCTGTGGGGTCTGAGCATGTCAATCTGGGTTCTATCAGATGGGGCATAGGGCCTCCTGTGAATACTAGTTCCTGGTGGCTAGCTGACCCATGGCTAGGATATTAGGAAATTTCTCAGCAGCTGCCAAGAATCCGTCTTATGGATCCTCTCTTTTCTTCCTGCTGTGGTGCCTGCTACCTTCAATGCTTCACTGGTGCAAAGAAATTGACCTCTGGAGAGGTTACCAAACTTTAGAACTAGTTGCATTAGTCAGGGTGTACTCCACCACCCTCTGCCTCTTTTGGGGTGTCGCTGGGGCTCTGCTTTATTTAGACTTGGCTGCCAGTAACACCACATGAGCATTTTTTGCATTGGTATTTGTATTTGCACTGCACCCTTGGGACTTTGCTCAGTTCTCACTCAGTTGCCAGGGAGAGCCATTTGAAACTGAAATGAGGGAGTTTGGAGTCTACACAGCCCCTTAACCAGGGATTTGTTTGGAGGCACACCACTTGTTTGTCCATGTATGAGATCTTTGTGCACCCTGATCTCTCTCTCTTTCCCCTTTTTCCATCTTCATCATCCTGATTACCTCAGAAGCCATCTACAGCCTTACTCTTCTCAGCCAAAACCGCCCTTAGTTCCCTCTGGCTAGAAACAGTTTACCTTGACTGGTGACTTAAGGAAATGGGAGGGATTCATCCCACACCCTGCAGGTCTGGGATGCTGAGGCTCTGCCTAAGAGGAGATAAACAAGAGAGGTAGGGGTACTGTGCAATGACTGGAAGGCGCATAAGCCTCCCTTCCTGCATGTAAAACCTGACTGCCTTTCTACTCTCCATTCCTTTCTTTTTCTCTTTTCCTGTTCAAACCAGGAAAGGAGTACTGAAGAGGAAAAACAGTTTTCAACACCCTGGCCCCTGATTTTGTCTTCCTCTTTGGGACTCCAGCTGATGACATATGGCCCTTTTTTGTGTACATTTTAAACTGATGGGTAAATTACAGCAAGAAAAATTTAGAGCTCAAATTTAGTTAACCTGAAGCTATAGAGTTAAGTGCAGTCTTCTAAAGCTCTCTATCTTCCTCTTTTCTGCCTGCTTTAAATCTGCTGTTACTAAGCTGCTGGTGCTAAGACTCATTTATGGTCTAACTAAAATGTAAACATGGGAAAGTTGAACAAAAAGAAAAAAAGAGTAAAAGGGGTTTGAAAAAAATGCCATAGAGACTGCTTTACCCAAAATTTTGGTTCACAGATTTCCTTGGATTACCTATTAGGGCAAACAGAGTTTAAGCATGGGAACAGGTTCCAATTTTGTCAGAAAAAGAACTTGCAGCCAGCTATCTTTTGTAGGTCTGTGAGTTTGTGATGCTGTCTCATGGCTAGAGTTCCAAGGTAAAAGCTATTGGATCTTTCTTTGTGCATGTAGGTATACATGTTTAGATATATTTATGTAATATTCATATATTATGTTCTGTGCCATCTCTAACATGCTACCGAATTGGCTTATAAGTAAATGAGTACTCAAAAATTAAGTCCAAATGGTTTTCAAGATCATGTGAATCTTTAATAAATAAAACTGGTTTTAAAATTACCAAAATAGAAATGTCTTCAGAATTTTCTGCATACATTTTTGCCTGAGTTTATTAACTAAGTGGTTTTATATTTGTATCAGTTTGCATACTAAGGTGTCAAGAGTTGACACAAAGGTTCTAAGACTAAATTCAGCCAAAAACAGAATAATCTTTCTGTATTTTTTTTGACAAGTAGGACTAATTTAAGATTGTTAGTTCAATGAAACAGCTAAATCTTCTGAGTCATCAGCAAATGCATTTAACTTTAAGTTTCTTAGGTATTCACCATTTAATGTTCAGACTTTAAAAATGGTTAATAGGGAAATAACTTTAAATAATGATTAGTTTTGGGTAATACCTCAGTTTTCAAAAGTAATCTAGATAAACTATTAAAAATGAAAAAAGTGAATACATGTAAATGAGACAACTGCTTCTAAGTGGACTTTTGGTATAATTTAAAATCTTAAAAATATTTTGAATTAAATAATAGATGCTCCAATCCAATAAATAATAATTGTATTTCTGGAACATTTCCAATTAAGATAATATGGGAAAGCATATTTCTAAAATTGTAGAATGGTTTCATCCAAAAAATGCTAACACCTGATAAATACTTCAGGATTTCTTGCTTCCTAAGTTTTCACTAAAATTTAAGGTTACTAAGAATAAGAATTCTAATATATAATTCTGTAAGTTGTGTTCTCACTTTTTTAAAAAGAATAATTTAAATAATTCTAAGGTTATTTAAAAGTTATAAAAGAAGGTGAAAAAGAATCAGTGAGTAGCAGAGAGATATAAAGTTGTGTATATAAAAATATGTTTATAATAAAAAGGTTATAAAGAAAAGCAAATAATTTTACATGTGAAAAAACAGTGAATTCTTGTCCTAAATAAAATGGCTCATTATTCAGAAAACAGAAAATTTTTAGGACAAGTCAGAAAGTCCAAGCATGTAATAAATGGTATGTGCAAGTTATGATACGGTTTGTAAAAGGAAAACTATAAAAGATATTTTATATATTAAGTTGGCTATAATTAAAAGGAAATTATTTTTAATAGTCTTTCTAAGATTGATCCCCTAAGACAAGGTTTTCTTAAGGTATTACTTTTCTCTTAATAAA